TAACATGAAATCTTTTCATTTGTACCTCCTTACTTCTTAAAATAATGGCCAGCATTCATATTTATAATTGTTATTGCAATATTTTCTTAAATTTGTTAAGCTCAAATATTCAATATAGAAGAAGTTTTATGGATATTTTATTATCATAGAACTCATCATGAGCTTATTGAATCATTAACTTAAGAATTAAGATTCATCAGAATATTAAAATAGGAAAACCATGAAATTTTCATTGGTTAAAACTAGTGAAATTAAATAATCTAATAATGCTTGCTAGTAAGTATTTTATGGAATTTGTAAAATTCTCAAAAATAAAGAAGATTGAATATTTATTCAGGAAAAAGAAAAAAATGTTAATTCTGATTTTGTAATAAAGCTCCCCTTTACAAGAATATTGTTTTGAGAGATTTCAATGATTTAGAGTTAGAGCTTGGAGTTAAGGGTATTTTTTACCAATTAGTAAAAGTTTCACAATTCCAGAATAAAAAAAAAAAAAAAAAATTCCTACCAATCCTTGGAAATCATACTTCTGCAAACTAACATACATTCATATATCATATTCTTCTTTTATGTGTCATTTTATTTCAGGACATAGGCAATCATGGCTCTTCCCAACCTCATGTCTTTCATTGATTTAAGTAAATGCAGTATAATGACAGAATAGACATTACACTCAATGCCACACCAGACCAATTAAGATGTCAAGTGTACCATCATATTGGTTACTCTCAGCCACCGATTCACCTGACCTCACATCTGTAGAGCTTTGCAAGCATGGCTTGGTTAGTTGTTGTTTTTTAGCAGCATATCAATTTCTATGAGTTATTTAATGCTGAAATCTAATTATTTTGTATGCCTCTTTTTTTTATAGATAATAATGGTTTTAGTGATACAAGTCCTACTAATTAACCTATAGTTGGGGACAGAAGAGGTGTACCCATACCTTTCCCAAGAGTATTTGTATGTAAGTGAATATAAAGAACTGGAATTGGAACTTGTCTCTTCAATTAATAATTCTGATCATTATCTATTACACCACCCACGCATCTTACAGCACCTGGTATTCCAAAGTTGTCACCTATTCAGGTACTGACTAAGCTCAACATTGCTTAACTTCAATGTTCATATGGGAACTAGTGTTTCAACATGATGTCGCCAAATTTGTAATACACAGTTATATAAATAACAGCTTCAGAGAGGAGTTCAGCAAGTCTCTCAGAAAAAAAAAATATATGGTTTCCATTTCAGATGAGGGGTGACAACAGGGTCCCTTGCACACATTGACCTGACAGTAACAAATGAAGTCAATAGTGAAATACAGTTTTGTTAGATATGAAGCATTACAGTGTTTTGTTATCATAAACTGCCACTACCATTTTATGGTATGACAACTGACTCTTTACCTTCCTTATTTGTCTTTGTTCTAATCTCCTTTCCCACAAACTGGTCAAGTAGGTTATTTGTTGTTTTCCCAGCTTTTATTGATTTCAATACTAGAGAATCGAGTAAATTTGATAGGTTTTCAGCCCTTTTCTAACCAACAATACATCCTGTGGTCATCATTTTTTATTTCAATCTTAATCCTGTCTTTCAGTTGGATCATAGACCTACATATATCCTATCATTTTTCTCCCAAAAGTGCACAAAATCGACTACATGAAAATAGAGCAATTATAAAATTGTCACATTGCTGCGATTTGTAAATTGTCTATTACAAAGTAGTGTTGATTTATTATCCAATGAATGCTTGTCGTCATACAATTTGTATTTGTGTATGTATGTATGTGTGTAATGTAAATCGTCACAACCTCAAGCCACTAAGATGCAAGAGTTTACAGAGTGTGAGAGAATATGAGGAAAAGAAAAATATTATTAAGGAGAGAGAATAATAAAAGAAGACAGAAGACAATGATTGACATTACATTTAAATTTTTGAACATCAAAATTAGCTGAAAAGCAAGAAGACAAAAGAGAGTTACACAGGCGAGAAGTGCAAGAAAAGAAACTGTTAGCATAGAACTTACAATTACATCTAACCATTTCAAATGTAAAATGATGAGACCTAACTGCCAATCTAGTACTATGTTTAAATTCATAAAGTCTTACCAAAGAGGAAAGCTCATTAGAAAAAGTACCAAGAGAATACTTATAAAAAAAAAAGCACTGGGAAGCCATGGCAGTGGGAAAGTGACTGAAGCTGATATGCCAAGTCAGAACTAGTAACATTGCAGATTGTTTGTATTTTATCAAGAACCTCTAAATACATAGCAGAAGCACCAGACCAGATGGAAAAAGGAATTTTTGACAATATACACACTTTTTTACGTATTTATGGTTATTTTTTAACTTTTATCAAAAACAACATTCTTGTACTTGTACATGTATGTATAATATTATATATTAATTACTAATTATTTTTAATTAATAACTATGTGCTCAGTTGTTGACATTAATAACTATCTGCTGATGTGTTAAAATTTTGGAATAATGCAATAATAAAAATGTAAATTTTATCTCTTTGATAGATGTTGTGATCTGTAAATAAAAATTCAGTGTATTATTTATGGCTGGCTAACTTTTGATAGCATTTTAATGTATCCTGACCATACTGACATCATCTTGGGATAGACACAAGAGTTTTTTTTGCAAATGTACATGTGAATAGAATTTTTTTAAAAGACCTGTCATACTTTCATTTGTTCTTTATTCTTCCAAGATATTGATTTAAAAAAAAGGGAAAATATTTTTGTATCCCATTTTCTAACAACATCATACTTTCAACAATTTGAAATATAATCTATCATCGCAATGCACATGATATTCAAATTGAAAAAAAAAAGTGATTTGCTCTCTTGTAAGCAGTCAGAATAAGTTTTTTGAAAGCCTTTCAATTCACTGTCATTAATGTTACCCTCCTTATCAAAGTTACTCAACTTGACAGTATGTCCTGTGAGTGCAACATTTTCTGGGCCTTCCTTTCTCATTATCTGTTGTAGATTAGTATTTCTAAATGCTCTCTTTTCCATGTAATGTAATGCAATCAACTTTTTGTGTTTCTTGTTTTACAAAACCTTCTTTTTTTTCTCCTCAATGATTGTTAAAAGTAAAACAGTCCCCAATATACAATATTTCTAGATTGGTTCGCTTGAGTGCTACCTTTTTATACCATATTTTTTATCCTTCACCATTTAAAAAAAATGAAATAAAATATTAAAAAAATAACAAATATATGTCTTGCTTCATTATGGCACTGCTGGTGCCCATATTTCTTTGTTTATTTTCAATTTTTCACGCGTTATTTAAGTAAAGAAAGAGGTATCATTATGTACTTTTTTTTTACCTATAACACCACAGGCGACAGTGCATAAAGGTTATTTTCATTAAGTTTTAAAAGTAAACATTACTTTTACAAAATTCAGTTAATTAATCCTTAAATTTAAATGACTTCGAAACATATTTCTCTCTCTAGGATAAATATTGGATTTTTAAAAGATTTTTAAAAAATTGTTTATAATGGCGGATTGATGGGTTGACGAAAAAACGTGCGAATGTTTTAAAAATGCCAAAAAACTTTACGGAAACTAATTTTTCTTTTAATTTGGATTGGGTTTCAAATATAAAACCAACATTTGTTTTTGTTTTTTTGTTTTTTTTCTCGGAAGTTTGTGTCGGTGAAAAAGTCATGCAAGAAGAGTAAGACTGATTTTGCCAGTAAGTGAAATTATAAAAAGAAAAAAGAAAGCGACCTGTTCATGAACATGAACGTTTTCGATTGTACAAGCAACAACAACAACAACAACAAAAATGTCATTCACTAAAATAAATTTAAAAAAAAACAACAAAAAACGAAACATTTTCATTTTATTAACAAACTAATTGTGTGTAAGCAGAAGGAGCTCCTTTATTTGTCGTAAAAAGGTTGAGTTTTTAAGAGTTCTGACTTAAATTAAGCAACATTTAACTTGACATCCTGGTAGTGGTTTTTAATTTTCATTGACATTGATTGGGTCAATCGATTTCAATATCATATTGACCTACATAATAATCGAAACTACGATAAAAAAAAAAAAAACTGTGTGTTTGTGTGTAATAATTTTGCATTAAATGATTTTAAAAAACCCCTGGTTAATTATAATGCCTGTTTGTTTATTTTTAGTTGTTATAGTAGAAGTAGTAATTTAGGTACGGTATTTCCCCCAGTCGTTGCAAAGACACAGAGAATTATTAATTACTGCAATAATAATGAGTAAATATTGTCAATATGTTTGTAATAATACTTTTTTAGTTTTAATCATGTATTTTTGAGTTAGCTGAATTACGTATTTTTTTTTTTTTTTTTTTTTTTACGTTTTATTTTTTAAGTTCGACTTCCTATTAAAATAAATTAAATTTAAAAATAACATTTATTTTTAAACACTAGTGTTACTGTTACAGTAGTTAACTAACACGGATATAGCAATTTGGGAAACTTTCAGAAAAATAACACATTTTTAAAGTTTTTACTTTTTACCAATCAGATTGTAATTAATTGCACTGGAGTTACTGAATTGTCGAAACTTAAACTAAAAACATAAAAATAAATAAACAAATTGCAATAAATTCAGACTTACTTTTTGAGATTGCAAATAACGATGACAGTTTCTTCCTGCCCTTAACAAACAACAGAAATGAACATTGATTACCAAATCTTCCTTTTATTCTCGGAAATGCATGAGTTTCATTTTCTGGGAAAACCAAGTTTTCAGTTTCACTTTCTAGAACCAATTGAATCATTCGACCGAGTTTTTAATCTCAACCCATTTTCCATTAATGAGAAAAATATGAAACAGAAATAAAATAAAAAGGGGATCGACTGTTTGTTTTTGTTTTTTTTTGTTTTGTTTTTGTTAGACGGTGATAAGACGTTTTTCCAATTTTACTTTTTAGTTTTTACTTTTTAGTAAAAAAAAAATCATGTTTTTACTTAGTATGTAAATCCACAGAATTCTTTTTTTATTATTTCTTTTTTGTTTACGATTTTCCGCTTTGAAGTTGGGAAAAGTTATTTTATTTCGCTTTTTTATTTAAACTTCTTTTTCTTTCGAATGTGGAAGATTAATTGCGCGATAACATTTTTTTCATCCGCCAGTGTCACGTGACAACACGCACAATATAGCAAAAATACTTGTGTTGCAATTCATTTAAGAGTCCTTTTTTTTCTTTTCTTTTCTTTTTTCTTTTTTTCTTTTCTTTTCTTTTTTCTTTTTTTTCTTTTTTAGACAAAAACTAAGAGGAATGTAAGTAATTCAACAACTGAATAAAGTATGCAGTGCCATTAATTAACAGGGCCGGATTATCCTAGGCTGCATCTAAGGGTCCTTTTTTAGCAAGAAATGATTTGTTTTATTGACAATTGACATATGATATAACAAACATTTTTTTTGACTTGGTAGGAAGCAAAACAAAAGAAAAATGTTTTATTTTTTTTTTTTTGTGTCACTTTCAAAATTTCAAATATTATCAATAAACATGTTTGATTTTAGTTTAGAGAATGTTTCTTTAATAATCTTAGAAATTTTTTTAAAGCAGGAATTTTCATTTTCTTGTTATAACTTATATTTAGTTTTTAAACTGAATGACATCAATGGCAAAAAACTCATTTTTTTTATTGTTGTTACGATTACATTGTTTTATGCTGATTATAAAAAAAAAAATCTGTTTTTTTTTTATTATTATTGCGGTTGTGGTTGAAATGCGTACTAATTTGGTTTGCAATTAAGTAGTTTATTTTTAATTTCTATTGATAAACAAAAGATAACTATTCTAGTTTATTTTTAAAGAATTTGCATACCCCAGGGTTGTCCCAGGTGACGCTAAAAAAGTGGTATACCCTGGAGAAAAAAGGTCCCCAAATTGAAAAAAAAAAATGTAAGGTGTAAAAATGTTTATGTTAAAATTAAAGAGGGAAGACCAAGGTATTTTTTAATTATTTTTAAAAAAATTTTTTCATTTGCAGCATTTTTTAAATTTAGGTTGAAAATCTTGTTTTTTTTAGGTAAAAAATTAGAGGTAATATTAAATTAATTAACATTACTTGTTTTTCACTGTTTTCAGTTGCAAAAAACACATTGATTTGGAAAATCTTGCAAAAATCAAGTACTTGTTGGATTTAATGA